AATATGTCCAGTATATCAAATATATCAAATATATCAAATATGTCTGATATATCTGATATTTAGATCTGCAATATACTACGCCACGTTCGTCAATCCAATCCTGTTACAATATTAATTACTACAATTAGTTTTTTAGAAATTATAAGTAAGATAATTCATTATAAATAAAAGATTTGCTTTATATATTTTTGTTAAACTAATATAAATAATAAATTTATTAAAAAAATCCTTTTTTATAATCATATTAGATAAATTTTTATAATTATACCAAATTTTTTTGATCTTAATGGATATGTTAGTTTATATTACTAATGTTTTAATAATTAAAAATTAAACTTATTATTATTTTTATTATTTTTTTTATTAATTAAGCATCAATATTAACAATTGAATAATTGGATAAATATATATAATCTAAATAATTCAAATTTAACAATTAAATAATTAGACTTAATACAATTATAACTACTTTTTTAACCAATTAAAATATATAAAATAATATATTAAAAATTTATAAAAGACTTAAAATATAAATTTTATTTATTATTTTTTACTTATGATAAAACTTTTCAAATAATTAGATATTAATAATGATATTTTAAATTTAATTTAGTAAATAAAGTTATTGAATCCTTAATTAAATTAAGTTTAATTATGAGTTTAATTAATTAATTGAATAATTAGACATAGTAAAATTCTAACAAATATTCAATTAGACAATTGAACAATTAGATACAATTGAATTATATTCAATTGTCTAATTATCTAAAATTATTATAATAAATATAATTTCAATACTATTAAATATATTTCATTATCTAAAAAATTACAATAATATTTATATAAATTAATTGCATAGAATTATATAAAAATAGAAATTTTTGTAATTTTATTATACTTATTGATCTATATCATCCATATTATTTTTATGTGAAACAGTCTTCAAATTACTCTATATAAGATTCTAGCTAGATTACTAAAAGTAGCATTAGAAATAACAATTTTATTTAATATGAACAAGTTAATTTACCAAAAAGAGTATTTGTTAATTTTTTATTTAAGAAATGCAATTAAAATTAAATATTTTTTTAAGAATTCTGCATATTATTACATAAGAGAAAACATTGATAATAATGATCTCAAGAAGATGATGATTACTAAAAAAATCTTTTATGTCTTATATGTTTTTTATATTATCTATGCTATTTATTTTTGAATAGAATTATTTTAAGAAGAAAATATAATTGCAACCTCTATTTAATATATTATTTCTATTTATTTTATTTTATTTATATCATTTATTTATTATATTATATTTATTATATATATTTCTTTTTATTATTTTGATAACTTTATATATTTAATTTTATATAAATATAAAAAAAATTTTTTAACTAAACATATATTTAATTTTAAATAGTTTATTTTAATTTCTTTAAAAACATTTATATAGTAAAAAATGTCAATTGAGATAGTACTTACTTGTTACAATTGTTAAATAAATTATTTGCCGATTAATACTCTTTTAAATCAATTATAAAAATTAACCTTATATTTACCATTTAAAATTATTATATTGCTTATCACATTAGTATTTTAAAGAATTGACTATAACAATATTAACGAATCAGAAAAATATAATTAGCAGTTACTTTTTAAAGCAATCATTTATAAGTTAATTTTTAAGAATTGTAGATCAAAAATAATGATTTTTATATTTCACTAAAAATGATTTTCAAAATTTTAGTCTGATTTATGATTTGGTAATCATAGTAATGCTGGCTAACTTTAAGTTTGACCAGAATTTGCGAATCGTAATATTGGCTGATCTTTGCCAAATCTCAGAATTCATTCTTAATTACCGCAGAAAATCATCCGATCCGGATATATGTTTATCCGTGAACGGTATCCAAATTTAGGATCTGTTTTCTAAACATGTTTATCACGTGATCGATTTTAAAAATATATAGATTTTTTTTTTCTCAAACAAATGAAATACACTTGAAAAATGATATAAGCCAAAGAAAATTCAAAAGTTTTTTGTTTTTAATAAAAGAAAGAAATTTTTTTTAACCCAGAAATTCAACAAATACAAAAAAAAAAAAAAAAAAAATTTTGATCAAAAAATATATGCCAAGAAAAAAAAAATAAAATCGAAAAAAAATAATTATTTGGTGATAAAAAAAAAAAAAGATCATTGAAAAAAATCCTTATTTTCGTCACCATACTTTTTCACATGAAAAGTCCTATTTAAGCGGAAACCCTAAATAAGCCAAGTCTCTAAGATATTTATACCCTTATTTCAACAAAATTCTCACTATCGAAGAGACTATAATAATAATAATAATAATAATAATAAAATAAGAGATTAAAAAAAAAGAAAGAATTTTTAAATTCGACAAAAAAAAAAAAAATTTTTTTTTTTGACAATACAAAAAAAGCCAAAGTCAATTCTATATAAGAAAAAAAAAATTAAAAGAAAAAATAAACTTTACAAATTAAACAAATTACTTCGCGTGAAAAAATTGTAAATCCATAAAAACCATCACACAAAATTATATTAGGTAGAACTCAAACCACCGCCAATTTGTAAATTGGAACCCATTGTAAAATCATCATCATCATCATCGTCGTCGTCTTCTTCATTATATTCTGCTTCCCATTGTGATGTTAATTCCTCAACAACAGTGCTTGGACCATGTCTCATTCCAATGTCTAATTTTTCCATCCAATCATCAGGTACCAAAGGTATGAATTCATCTTCTTTCTCTTGTCCACCATAATTAGCCAACATTTCTGTGCTGGTCGGTATAGCGAACGGTAATAATAATTCACTATCTTTCATCTCCATCAAATCTTCATCATCTTCCCAACCTGGTCCTGTACCACAAGGCGGTAATGTGGGTGATACTGTGAGATAAATGATACTAGAAGCATCACTTCGATCGCTCCGTATGCTTTCGGTGGAATATCTTTTCTTCCGTCGTTCGGTATCTTCTTCCAACTGTAAGATGTATTGTTGACATTCTTCGGTTATCCTTGGCTCATTAACCTCATACCGATAATTTTTACTGACCCGCTTAAGTTGAGCGGGGTTAATAAGATTAAGTTCTTTTGTCGTTTGAATCAAAATTAGGAAATCTGTCATTTGCGACCAACACATTAATAACTGTAAGAGCTGAATTAATGGTTGAAAGTGTGTTATCAATGATAATGACAAATTATTCGTATGAACCCAATCTTCAATAGTTGAAATGTTTAGACGAATTTGCATTGCTTTTGATCGGCACAAGTATTTCTTCTTGGATAGTATTTTGTTAAATAGTTCACATGATATGAAATAGAACAATTGATTCATAACTTGTTCTATAATCATGGGATGTATCTCATAAGTTTGTAGGACAAAAAGTGTGGAAGATAATAAAGAAGTGACATTACGAGGGGATGGTGCGCTCCTTTGTCTTGGTGATTGAGGTGCACGGAATGATAAAATGCTGCTTGTTGATGAACTTCGTTTCAAAGATGTAGAAGTTGGTATAAATGCAGGATTATAATTTACGGGGCTCTTTGACCTTCGTATTAAATGTTTGAAAACACGCCATTCACCCTCGAATCTCACATCATCCAATCCCGGAATTGTATCAAACTCTAATACAGCTGCCTCTAATATTTTATCAATACGTCTTTGAGCATCTTTTATTAAGAGAACATATATTTCATGAAGAAGTTCTGAAATTCGTAATTGATATTCTACTGTTGCGATAGCAAGTCCAGTATCTTTCTTCAAATAGTACAACAATAACGTGCAATTTGAGATCCAGAAAGATAACAAAGTCATATCTTCAGGTCGTGCCTAGATGATCACAGAGAATGATTATTAGATAATGGTTCATCATAATTTAAAAATTAAAATTAAAATTTAATAAT